GTTTTGCAAGAGTTGTGCAAGAACAGAAAGAGTTAGGAAAATCCCATGATGAAGCAAGAGATACGTAAGGATGATACAAGACCAGAGTCTTATGAGCTGCCGGGAACGGTAGGTCATAACATCGCTTTTGGACTAAATCTTAGTGGACTGTAGGTAATAAAGGGTGCTGATTCCGAATATCACAATGATTTCTGCGTACGACTCTCTTGAGACAACTACAATCATGTTTCATTCAGAAAGATTTTGGTTATCTTTTAGAGTTTCTGAAAAACTAGTTTTGCAGAAAATCGGTCTCTAGAGGGCAGTACCCAAAAAGCATTGTGATATTCGGAGTCAGCATTCTTGATTACCTATAGTCCACTAAGATTTAGTCCAAAAGCGGTGGGACAATTGGGAGCCTTCCCTTGTAAGCCCAGCGTCAGAATGGACCGATATGTCACTCTAATTTGTTCAAAGATAAGAAGCAAGTAATTTTTCCACCTTACTTAACAGATTTCAAATGACTTGCCATGACTTAGTAAAGAAAACTATGACTTAGGACTTGATTTACATCAACTTAGTAAAGCCTGATATTTGATTTTATTGATATAAAGCGGTAGAAGAAGAACATTTCTCTTTTCTTCTTTCATCTCACTGCGCACAAAGGATGTCGTTATACACGTGTTCTCTCACACTCATTCAGTCAATAACATCAATACCAGAACATCACAGAACGGTAGAACGATATATCATACAGTAGAATCACTGTTCCTAATTATGGCAGGAAAATTTTTCTTTCCCCTAAATCTCTATATTCTCAGCCATTTTTCAAGTAATAAGAAGGAATTATATATTACGGGATAGTAGAGATTTTTCTATCTACCATCCAGCTATGTAAAGATTTTTCAAAACTAGTTTAGTTTAACTTAATTACAACGATAAAAAGAAGAGGTGTGCTCAATAGCTTTGCGTTCTTGCGCGTTTTTTACACCCTCAAAGAAAAAAAGATTTTTCTGACCGACAAAATTAAAACTTTTTAAAAGCAAAATATATCGAAATGTTCCTCTGACCTCGAGGAATCGAATGGTGCTATTTTTATTGAAAAAAGATCGAGTTTTCGTCATAGAGCAAACTTAATAGCGAATATAATGAATATCAGAATTTTTCATTTCATCTATCTTGAAAAGACTTGATGAAGATCTTGATCAAGATATGTAAATGATTTTAACAGAGCATATAAGATGTTATTACCCGTTTGTATATCCAAAATCATCAGATTGACCTCCAGTCAAAGTCTGTTAGCTAAAAGTTGCTTTTGTAAGATACGTCCTTGGAAAGCTGTATGTGGAGTTCAATTAAAATTTAGTCGTTTCTTTCGTTTCTTCCAAAAAAAACGTATTATGGTTGTTATTATGTTTATGCTTATTTTTTAATCCTTTTAGCATATTATGGTTCAGATATACAGGATAGTGACAAGAAACACTTTTAATTTTAATAACTGAATATCATCACTTGGTACTCGGAATGGTGTTTTGGTGAAAACTTCACCAATTACATTAGATAACATGTTGAAATTTTCAATTTCGATTATCAATGGACTCTATCACTTGTACGTTATTATAATAGCCGATCGAAGTGAGTAAAAACATAGTTCAAAATCAGCAAGATGCCCTCATCATAATGTTAGATTCCAAGTTAGACTCAGACGTTATCGTAAAATTCACTACAGATACTAGCGTTTGCTTATAGCTTTGGTAGGACGCTCGGTCACTGGAAATATTTTTGCATTCCATCTGAAGAAGCTGATCGACAGTAAAATTTATCTATAGGAATTTATATTTCATATGAGCGGTAAATGGGTACCAGCTGTGTAAAGAAGTTGAGAAAGGGTTTTCGGAACCAAGCAGAACGATAAATCAATACAGTCAGTAAATGTTGAAAAACCTAACTTTTTATAATATTCTGTTCTGTGAATCAAAGCAACCATGTCTGCAGTAACTAATTACACCTGTTGTGATACTTGTCCCGAATGTAAGTGACTGAAACCGGTTCTTGCTATTACTAAATTAAAAGCTCTGGTTTTTATTCAGTAAATGGCAGCATTCATCAGAGAACAATATCGGAACCTGCGGTAGTATCCACAAGTAATTCCTTCTCAAACGCAAAATGTTTGCTTCGAGAAAAAAACAATTCATCTTTTTATCCACAGATCCGCCAGCTTTCTCGTGTCCACCATCATATAATGGATTATTTGCAAATATTCTGAATCCATTTACATTTTGGAGTTGCTCAAACGGCATAGCATATTTAATGAATTGTCTTCATAATCTTATTTTCTCAGTTGATCTTCAACGCTGCGAATGAATGGTAAATTAAAAACTTTCTCATCTCTTTCACCTGTTCAAAAAAAAAATTAGGAGATTTGAGTTTTTTGTATTTAAGAACTAACCCAATTAATAATTACTTTCACATTTTAGTCCCATTTTCTGATCCATGTTTGGGTAGTGATAATTATTATCCAGTCCCTGTATGGTTAGATCGAGCATCATATGTGAAATGTAATCAAGAAACGCAACAATTAAAATCGATTAATACGTGTCCTCATATACAAATATAATTAAAACAGTCAAAACGTTGTGGAACCTGCCATGAAGCAGTAACTGAAAAACTACAAGATGAAAGTCTTGGATCAATTATTGGACGATAAATAGATAGAAGAACTACATCGATCCTTAGTTTTAATTGTCTTTTGTTTTTGCCAACCTTGTCTCGAAACGACACAAAAGTCGTACCTTGATTCTCTTCCCAAAGCGCCATAAGAAATCTGAACTTCACGATTCTCGCAGTAGAGCGTTTTAACTTACAGTTCGATTGCGTTTTGTATTTGTAAGATTTTTCTCTATGTCTTGTTGCTTTTGAATTATAACTCATCTTCGATCATTTTCTTTAAGTTTATTTGTTATCAATTCAAAACGACGTAACAGGGTCAAAAGTCATCGATCCTCTTCACAGTCAAAATTAACGGAGTAAGAGAAAGTGTTTTACGCTTAACTACAGATTATTCTCATCTAATCTTACATAATATAGCGACAAAGCTGGATCTGTGCTTGCAACCATCGTTCTCTGTCTGACATTTTCAGCACATGTCTGTTAGATCTGATTAATTTTACTTACACAAGTAACATTGTAAAATCACAGTTCAGTGTGTATATTAAATTTTCCTGTACTCACACTATTACTTATTTGATGAGAACTTGTAAACAAGTACACTAAAGCCAATTTGAACACACGTTAATACAATATAAATGTACATTGCACGTTCGAACCAAACAAGATTATTTACCTATATACGTAAACCAAATGTTCTCAAATATTCCTAAAATATATAGATTTAATTTAATAAAAGCAAAGACAATCATGCTTTCGTTTTATTTTCACGTTCTTCAACAATATAATCAATATTCGTTATAAATTTACCAAAAACATTATAGAAAAACATATTGGACAAATCAGAGGAAAAGAAAATGAGCCAAATTCAATGAACCGTTGTTTTGCTCGTTTTTAATTCCCGCGCTCATTCCCTTTTCTATTTCAATCGCTGTTCTACCCTTTGTATTGTTGCCTTGTTGGCACAATACGTATTTTGCCAGGTGGTTTTGAGGAAGTTGATAGAGCCAGCTTCACGGATCATTTTACACCAACGTTGAATCGTATACAGTAGAGATCTCCTCGGACAAAATGTTTTTGCCCGTATCCATAGCTCTATCGAGGGTGCTTGTCCGTGCCTGTGCACAAAAAGCCCTTTTTTTCTCTCTGATGTGGCATAGACATCGTGGCTTTTTTTTTGAAAAACTTGTGCCTGTCGAAGAAAGCTGTTGCCCGTCCATGCCGATCGGTATCTTTTCCGAACATGTCCGTCCATTCCTGGGGCTACGGGAATCCCCGTGCCTGTGCACATCTCTGATATACAGTCCTAATTCTCCGTTTAAATCACGAAATATTTTCCATGGATGATCACCAGGATTATATTTAGAAAGTACAATACTTTTGCTTACTTATCACGAGAGAACATATCGTCAATTAGAGGGTCAAACTATATGGGAAGTTTGGGATAAGTTGTCTGTGTAGTATTTTGTTATATAAGTGAACCTGCACTGATCGTTTGTGGTTTACTTATCAATGGAGAAATGTCATCGTTCGACGATTAGAGAAATCAATTGTGCTTTTCTCGCGTTGTCACAAGCTGCATCAAATCATTGCGTGCAGACAGCTGATGTCGGAGATAGTTAAATGTGACATCATTCGCATGATTTGTTCTGATAGATTCAAAAATGATGAGAAATCCTCGTATTTTGTAGTAGTATAATAGTCTTACATACGTTAATAATAGACAGCTAGCAAAAAAGAAGATATCTCTTCTCACACAAAATATGTGTGTGCAAACACTGCCGCACATGTGATGCAAAGGGACGAGGAAGAAAAAGAAAAACAGAAGACAGAGCAGAGATCGTATATATATATGATGTACATGTGCGACAAGAGATATCTCCTTTTTGCTAGATGCCTAATATAAGTCTTATATATAGACAATATGGTCTTAGATATCTTGTAGTATTCATCATTAAAAGGCCCAAAACACCAATGCCGCATATTTCTTTCTTTTGTTTTTATCTTTTCTGCATCGAGCATTATTACGCTGCTATGCGTGCACGAAGTATGCACCTGATTCAGAAACGTCGCAGAACGAACAAAGTTTTTCTTGTTATGTACATAAAACTGAAATGTTTTTTATCGAGACACCGAATGTAGCTGAGGAGAAAGAGAAAAGAAGAGTAAAACACATGTTGTAAAATAAAACATTGTTAAATTATAATAACATGGCCGTCACAGTCGTATTAGTCCTGCTGATTATTTTGATCTCAATAGTGTACCTCTACGTGAAGCAAAAACAGTTGCTGAACAACAGTGATCCTAATATAACCGGATTGAAACCACAGTTGCTTGTCGGGAATCTTGTGCAGATGGGTATTTTGCATAAAGGAACTTCATTAGCAAATGTATATCGTTCACTCAAAGAAAAATATGGTGATGTATATCGATTTTGGTTGGGTTTAAACCCATTTATTGTAATCAGTAATGCCGATTATGCACAGTACATATTCTCCAGACGAGATGTGTACGATCAAAGTCATTTTTTCAAAGATTGGTTAGATTCATTGATGCCAAATGGACTCATCTTAACTCAAGGTAGGAAGATTTTCAAACAAATCTTGGTTCTTTTTTATGATGTACCGTTTTATGCAAGGATCACAATTTAAACGTCATTCGCGAATCATTTCACAGTTGTTTCGAAAGGGCAAAATATTGTCGCACTTTTCAACTATCATAAATAACACCAATCAATGGATTGAAGAACTTAGATCCGATTCCGTTCGAAAACTTCATTTTGATATGTATAACCAATACCAACGTTTAATGCAGGGAATAATTGGTCTTATTGCATTCGATTACGATCTACAACGGGAAGAAAGACTGAATAAAGCTCTTGGTGTATTCCTGGCGATGATGAATAAACTGCTGCTTATGTCAAGTTTACCAAAGATATTTTTGCATACTTATGTAAAGTTGAATACAGAATTTCAGAAAGCAATGAAAACAATTCAGATTTATACAGAGGCCATTGTTCTCAAAGAACAACAAATTCAAGGAGAGAGCAAGGGAAAAAGTTTGATTTCATCATTAGTATCATCTTTGCAGGAAAATGAAGTCGAAGAACAAAAGGAGAATGAAACCGAACAACAAGGTAAACAGCCAGTAACTTAAGTTTCTGTGTCCTTCTACCCCTATCATTAAGGTCCTTACCCCCCTCCCCCATCAGAAACATAAACTTTTTATAAAAGTCGATATTGAGCTAAACACGTCATCAGATAGCCCACAGTATTTATTATCAGGATCCAATGTTACTTGGCCCTCACCAAAGGGTTATGAAGGCTTTTTTAGAAAAATTGAATAAGCTCTTGGTGTATTTTTAAATCTCGAAAAGCTAACTTTTCGACTAAAGGGCCAATTGAAAACTACTTATAGTAATGCCAGGGAATAGAACAAACATTTATGATAAAAATGAGATATCTCCCAGCTCTGAATAATATTCTGATCAAGAGTTATGAGGGTTTTGCTGGAAGCTCTAAAACTCGCATCAGATACGGGCGCCACCATATCTCGAAAGCGACTTTCACCTTAACACCATCTCGTAGCTTTAAGATTTCTCAGTAACGAAACGTCGCAGAGCTTAGGAACGTCTTAAATTGAAGCTGACACAAGTGGCTAGAGACAAATAGAGCTCAATTCTTGATATTCGGCCAGGATTTGTAATTAGAAAAACATCTTTACCAAAGTTAATGAGACGTTTTAAGTGATAAAAAAGAACAACAGGATTCTATTGTTCAGAAAATATTTTTCTAACTTAAATTTTGGAGAGAAGGTGAAAATGCTTGTAACATTCTTCTGCAAAATTTCATGAAAAAGCAAAACTTTGAAAGAGTAATGTAAAAGTCAGCAGTTTCATATCATCGTTTAACTCTTGTCGAACTCTAATGTACAGCTCGTCAAAATAGTTTTCGAGTTTAGTACTGTGTCTTTTTGAAACAGTTGTTCGGAAAACATCTGGCTGATATTCCAATAGTGGCGTCTAGTTATCAAATTAGGCTATAATAAGCATGTGATCGAGAACTGCCATGGTTTCTAAAAATCGCAATACGAAAAAAGTGACCAAAACTGTCATTTCCACGACTGCATTGAAACCTTATTAAATTGTGCATTTAATTGTTTAACCAAGTATAGCATAGCACTGAAAAACAGGTCAAAAAAATCAAAAAATAACAACTCCATAGCACTCGGATAGTCAAATCTATATTTATCTCTTATGCAGCGGTAGTAAAAGCTCCAGCTCGGCTAAATGAAGTGTTGGATTTACGAATACACATATATTTAACAGAAAAAGTGTTGTGTTTATGAATACACATATTCCCTTGACTGTAAAGGAAAGGGTCTTATCGAGTTAAAATGCCTGTATGTATGTTCGTATGTTTGTATGTCCGCAGACTAGATACTAGCGACAGACTAACTAGTACAACAAAAGTTGATTGGCTGATAATGATATGGAGTAGGTAGTCGACTATGGGGAATCAGAAAATGAGTATGAGCGACCTCTACGGCGATTCCTATTGGTCGAAAACATCATTTCCGCATTAATCGATGAAAACGATATGGAGTGGGTACTCGACTATGGGGAATCGGAAAATGAGTATGAGCGATCTCTGCGGTGATTCCTATTCCCTTGACTGTAAAGGAAAGGGTCTTATCGAGTTAAAATGCCTGTAAGTATGTATGTTTGTCCGCAGACTGGATACTAACTGGACACAGCTTTTTAGTAGCGGAGACTTGATTGGATGAAAATGATATAGAATAGGTATTCGACTATGGGGAACCAGAAAATGAGTATGAGCGACCTCTCGAGTCGATTCTA